TGGCAATTTAACCCTTCAATCTCAATTGGAATCCTAATCCCTTAACAACCCCTCATGAATATTAAGCGATGAACTCAATAATTTAGGCATCCGCAATTCAATACACATTTATTCCTAGCATGCATACGAACCGTTATCCTACCCCCTTTCAGGACGAAAACCCAAATATTCCTATCTAGGGTTCTAACCCTCAGACTATTATCAACTATTAGAGTGATCAATTCTAATAAAGAAAATATAAAATACGAACAGGATAAAGATAAAGATAATTATATAATCGAGCAATTATAAATCAATCCGCGTAACAAGGGTTCACATAGGGTTTGTGACCCTAACTACAATAAAAAGTAAATTAGCCAAACATAATCATGGCTAAAAATCCAATATTCAATGAAAGCATAAAATTAAAGAGAAAGAAAGAAGAAGAACTTGATCCCAGGAATCCTCTCTGAGCACCGCCGTCGTCTCTCTTCAGAAGAATAGGTCTGTCATAATTCTGTCTTGAGGATCCTATTTATAGATCTCCTTTATTCTTCCAAAAATACCCTTCAGACAACATGATGTTTCTTTCCCGCAAACCAGCGCCAGTTGGCGCCATTTTGGCGCCACTAGGCGCCAAGTTACTGTGACATTGCTTTCTTCATGACCTTGGCGCTAGATGGCATGGAACATGGCGCCATTTTGCTTGAGTTTGGCGCCACTTAGCATGTGGCGCTAGTTCGCGTCATTTTGGCATGGTGGCGCTAGTTCGCGCCATTTTGGCACCAACTAGCGCCAATTCTCTGACATTTGTACTATGCAACATGGCGCTAACTTGCGCCACTGTGGCGCCAAGTTGCGCCTTTTCTCTGGACTTTGGCCTATGCGACATGATGCAACATGGAACTTTCCTGTGTGTGGAGTCGCTTCAACAGGCTTTTTATAATTTATAATTTTCACTCCTTTTACCTGTAAAAACACAACCAAAAGGTGAGAAATATTATTGAAAAGGAAGAATCAATATAATTAGCAAATATATATTTAAATTCCTCTAGTATGACTCAATTCTTATCAATTTTAACACAAAAATCACACTTGGCAGAGGCACATCAATATTCGCCTCCTCCTCCTCCCTCCTCTTCATCCACGGACCATGACCTGGCCAAGCGCAAGAAATGAGTCAAAGGTTATTTTTGTCTCAAAAATTGGATGCATTTTCCCACCCGGTGGAATTTCAAGAATGCCACCTATTTGGTGGTATTTTGGAATTGGAATCTAGTTTATATTTTCAAATCCCGGGAATTTGATTTTCCCAATAAAAATTCAAAATACCTTTACCAAATATGGCAAAATAACATTCTCAATCTCACTTTTCCATAATCCAAAATAAATCCACCTACTAAACACTCCTTTATAGTTTTTGGAATATATTAAAATATACTCAAGTAAGGGTTTTACTTTGTTGGTCTCTTTAAAAAATAGTACCATATATATTTTTATAATTTTAATATTTCCAACACAAATGCTGTAACTTTTTTTAATTTGAATTTGTAATTTTTAAAATAACTCTATCTATTACCTTTTTCTTTTTTTATTTCACTATTTGTTCTTCTAATTTTTACACCCAAGTTCATTATATATATATATACATATATATATATACATATATATATATATATGCTATTTTGCCTACTCCTTTATTTGCTTACTTTATTTATCTTTTTCAACACTGTTAGATTACAATCTCATTCAACTGTGAAGATTTGCATAAAAAAATAAATCCTTTTACTCATTTCTCTCTCTCATTACCTCTCACCCTTTCTCTCTCCTCCCTTGCAATAACGAAGATGTCGTTTTGACGTCTCTTTTACAAAGTGAATCCTAAAACTCTTAATCGCATCTCTGAATCTCGTGACAACAAGCGAGTGACTACATTAGTTCAATTCTCTTTAAATGGCGTTTATTTGAATTATGATTAATTTTTGTTTTCTATTTTTGTGATTCTGATCTCGACGAATTGTCTGCAATTGCTATCGGCACGATGAAATCTTCATGTTCTCTTTTGTGAGCACTGGCACGTGGACACTTAACCAAAGTGCTAAGCCTTAAGAGCCTAGATTCGCAAATCATAATTTGTCTGCAGTTTTCTATGTTCCTGAAACTTTTGAGATTTGTGTTGTTGTGTCTTATTAGAAGATAGTTTTTATTTTTGTATGCATTTTTTTCGTCAATTTCCAATGAGTTTAGAGAAGATATAATTAATCGCTCTGGTTGGCAGTAACTTGTTTTAAATAATTTTCATTCATTGTGGTTTGATGCCCATACTTTACCATTGCAATTTTCTTGTAGCCATTTTTCGAGACGTCAAAGTGAAGTCTTCGTCATTGCAGGGGAGGAGAGATAAAGAGTGGGAGACAGTGGGAGAGAAAAAAGGTAAAATAGTTTATTTTAATCTGCAAATCTCTACTGTTGGATGATATTGTAATCTAACAGTGTTAACAGAGATAGGTAAAGTAGGCAGATAAAAAGAGTAGGTAAAATAACCTATCACACACACACGTACACACATAGGCAGTGGCAGAGCCACATTGGATCCATTCAGGGCTAACTTTTAAAAATTACCCACGTTTTCGACGTGGGTAAATAATCGTGGCTAAATTGAAGGGATAAAATTTAATGATTTGCACCAGTTATATTTTTTTGGCCTTGACTCATTAATCTTGCTGACTCGGCCACTGTATATAGGGTAAATAGTCTCTCATATTACAGGAAAGCCATAATCTTAACTTTGCTTTGTCCTACATCAAGAGAAGTTTAACTCCAATATATATATGTGTGTGTGGGGGGGGAATTGTTTCTCCTATTGCTGGAGAAACATTCCCCCTTCGACTCACAAATTTTTATTTATTTTTTTAACCATGATCTCCTGTCTGCGGGAGATATATTTCTTCTCCTGCAACGCAACAGGAGAAATGCACACACACACACACACACACACACACACACACACACACACGTGTGGGGTGGGGGGGGGGGGATTGTTTCTCCTATTGCTGGAGAAACATTCCCCCTTCGACTCACAAATTTTTATTTATTTTTTTAACCATGATCTCCTGTCTGCGGGAGATATATTTCTTCTCCTGCAACGCAACAGGAGAAATGCACACACACACACACACACACACACACACACACACAGGGTTTTATAATTCTCATGTTATATGAGAAGGGAATTTTTCTACACACTCTTCGATTTCCAGGCTGATATGAGTTTCACACATGACTTTTTCTAATATATGGGTCATGTGTGGAAAAGTCATATATTAGAAAAAGTCATGTGTGAAACTCATATCAGCATGAAAACGAAGAGTGTGTAGAAAAATTTCAATTCGCATGTACATGTGAATTATAAAACCTATATATATATATATATATATATATATATATATATATATATATATGGGGTAAATATTTCTATAGCCACTTTAGATAAAGTTATCTACAGCTACCCCAAAAACTATGTCGTTTTGATTAATGAAGGGTGTTTCTGTAATTTTAGGTGAATTAATTAAAGGTGTTTTCGTAATTTTGTTTATTTTTTATCATATGTAATTTACTGAAATACCCTTCATTAATTCACCTAAAATTACAGAAACACTCTTCATTAATCAAAATGACGTAGTTTTTGGGGTAGATAACCTTATCTGAAGTGGCTATAGAAATAATTTTTCCTATATATATATGTGTGTGTGTGTGTGTAATTCTTTGTTATATAATAGGATATAAAGTTATTTCAGCAACCCTAATCGTTTTGGTGTTTAGGAAAAAAATATACGATATTTTAAAAAATTTGCTTTCCTCTTTTATCATGAATTTTATTAAAATACCTTCAATTTTTTGTCAAACCCCAAAATAACACCGTTTAGGGGATTCAGAAAATAACTTTAACTTTATATCTTGTAACATAAAAAACATTGATATAATTTTATACATAAATACATACATACATATATATATATATATATATATATATATATATATATATATAGGGTTCTCTTTTTCTACAGTGAATGCAGATAACTTATCTACATTAAGTCTAAAACGACGTCGTTTTGAAGCAGAAATCAATGTATTTTTGTAATTATAATTTATTTCAAGGTTATAATAGTCTTTTTTATTATAATTTTTTTATTTTTCAACCCAAAATGCTGTTATTTTGGGAGCAAATGTAGATAACTTATCTACATTCACTGTAGAAACATTATATATATATATGGGGTTTATATTTCTGCACCTGTTGTACGTGCATCAATCAAATACTTGCCGTATATATATTTGAAAGCATTAAATGTGAAGAATCATAATCATACACCTGTCGTTGTTGTACATAAAGTGAATGCAGAAATAATATTACTATATATATATATATAGCTTACAAAGTAAATTAAATATACCAAGTCATAAAAATTAAAAGAAATACCAAATTCTTTTTTCAAAAGCATTATCAAAGTCAGGACTTTAACCAAGTATTTAATGTGACAAAAACCACAATTAAAGTTCACACGGTGTCTTGACAATCTACCCCTCCTAACGACCATTCCCATCATGAATTCCCCTGACAGCTTTTCTTCATTTACAAGAAACCCTCGTGGTTACAATCAAGTGACAAAAACCAAGTTGTGAGTTCCATTCACAACTTTTCTTCATTTACAAGAAAAACTCGTGCTAGCTATCAAAACGACAATATCGAAGTTGGATTGCATCATATGGATTATTAGGATCGATAATTCGTGTCGGATCGAGGTTTGATTCGATCATAAACACACTTCATACGAACATAACTTGAATAAAGATTTGTATCAAGATTTTCGAATATAACCTATTTATAATCATGGTGGTATATAGATATTTTTCATGGAGGGTGAAGTATGTTGATATAAAGGGTGTTTATAGTGGCAATGGTAGAGACCAAACACTAGTGAAGCTTCCCATAGTGCATAAGGGGGGTGTGTATGGCAAGGATGGCTCTACCAAATGGGCAGAGTGACAGCGTAGTCAAGAGTGGAAAAGAAGATCCACCGTCCATGTGTGAAGGGGGTATTTAGAGAGGAGAGCCATCTCTAGCATGAGGAGACCTTAGACCCTCCCATGAACTGTCCCATCAAGCCATGTCTTGTCTTAAGACAAGACATGCTGTCCCTTGTCAGTGTGCAGGGGTAGCTGTGCAAGGAAGGGGAAAGTCTCAGTGGTTAGCCTCTATGGCTTGCCATGAGTGCCCTCTATAAGGTTCTAGATATGGGCTTTAAGAGATTGGACTCATTTGATGGGCCTAATGTAAGTAGTATTTTGTGGGTTAAGACAATATGATACAAATAACTCACAAACGGCAAAGTGTCCCGATTGTTATATACTTGAACAACATGACAGAACTGTCAATCTTAAAATATCTCGCTTATTCTATGAGTTAACATAATACGACACAAATAATTATGTATTTATTAGAGAATAATATAAACTATTAAAAAGGCTATACCCAAAACCTTAAGGTACTCCCACTTTCTGGTAGAATATAAATAAGCACCAGGTAAAACAAAAAATTGGGGTTGTGTAATATCCATGCTTTAAGCTCAAAGGGTTCTTGCGTGAGGGGGTGCATCTTAAAGTTTTGATTATTTACAAAATCAAAAATTAAAATTGAGCTATGCAATATCCACGCTTCAAGCCCAAAAGGCTCTTGCGAGAAGGGATGTGTTAGAGAATATAAACCATTAAAAAGCACTCATTCTCTAGTTTAAGCTCTTGAGTTGAAGTGATTCTTTACATGGTCTTAGAGCTTTAGTAACTATAAGGTCACAAGTTCGATCCTCACCGCACTTCACTTGTGTAATTAAATAAGCATAAGGTAAACCAAAAAGAAAAAAAAATTGGGCATATGCAATATTCACGCTTCAAGCTCGAAGAACTCTTACATGATGGGGTGTATTAGAGGATAATATAAATCATTAAAGCCCTCACCCAAAACTTTAAGGTTTTGGGTTGCGATGTTCTTGACATGATTTCAGAGCTTCAATGATCACAAGGTCACGTGTTCGATCCTCACCGCCCTCAACTTGTGGAATTAAATAACCACAAAGTAAACCTAAAAAAATAAATTTGGGCCTATTTTTTGTTTTAGCTTGTGCTTATTTATATTCACCAGAAAGTGGGGGCGGTAATTATCGAACTCGTGACCTTATGGTCAAGGAAGCTCTGATATCATGTAAAGAATCAATTCAACCCAAGAACTTAAGCTAGTGGGTGAAGACTTTTTACATGATTTATACTATTCTCTAACAGTCTTAAATATTATTTTCATCAAATTCGTGTTAACAAAAGACACATTTGATTCAAATAACATAAAAGAATTGTGGATTAATACAATACAGGATGAAATTGTTCATATAATTTTTACCTTCACAATCGTCCTTAGGGGTATTAATAGAATAGGTTTATACTATTCTCTAACAGGATTAAATATTGAGAAGGGATATTCTTGCTACTAAATTTTTTCACTACCAACTTACTACCCATCTGATCATCATTGGATCAAAGAGAGAGAATATTAAAAAGTTTTTGAAGAGAGAGAAATAATGGTGATTAAATAGGTAGTAAATTGGTAGTGAAAAATTTTAGTAATAAAAATATTCCTCTTCTTAAATATTATTTTCATCAAATTCGTGGTAACAAAAGACACATTTGATTCAAATAACATAAAAGAAAAATTAACGCAATTTAAAATCATATTTGTGGATTAACACAATACATGATGAAATTGTTCATATAATTTTTATCTTCACAATCGTCCTTAGGAGTATAAATAGGCTAGGTTAGACTTTGACTTAAATAGGTTAAGTCTGTGTAAAAAAACTTAAGTTTGACTTGACCAGTTAACCTGTGTAGACCCAAATTACAAGTCTGCCCCAACTTATATTTAAAAAATAAAAACATTTATCTAGGCTTGTTAGCCTGTTTAAACCTATTAAATATTTCATAATTACAAAATAACTAAACTAATATTACTTTATTATTCAAAATTATAAAAATAATTATTTTATTTAAAATAAATAATATAATATGTAGGCTAGACTGTATGCCCCTTAGACCGACCTAACCCATTACACTTTGACAAATGTATGTACAGATTAATGCAAACATAAAAATCTCATTTCGTATTGCGGATCGTCGAGGGAATTACCACTCTTAACTTGGGTGGGTCAAGCCATTAAGAATATATGGGATTAATGCGAGCTGGAGGCCTAATATAAAGTCACAAAAATCCCAGAGATGATTCATCGCATTAACTTGTTAACTCAACTGCTGCCACCAATGTCTTCCCTAGCTAGTTACATTACATATCCTATGGCTATTAGTAATTCAGCTTTTCTTTTTCTTTTTTAAAAAAAACACATAAAATCAAGGCTTTTACTTTATGATCTTGCATAACTTTAGGGCTTTTAATCCATATATATGCAAAATAAAAAACATTCACTCATTTAATTCTATTTTTTTAGTAGATAAAAGTTCTGGAAAGAGAGATACCGATATGTAACCCACTAGGGCTAGAGTAGACCTGTTCAACCTCAATGAGGATTTATGTCAGGGGCAGCGGAAAGAAAGTCCGCTCTACAGTTTATCCATCAACATGAGCCTCAAAGCGGCCAGAGGGAGTCGAACTTGTGTCTTTTTGGAGTATGAGTCAACTCCTTAGCCACATGTGCCACCGCATGTTGGCCTCATTTAATTCTCTTAACAAAGAGTTAAAAATATCTAAGTTATTCTTAATAATTTTATAATATTCACCAAAATAAACATAAAAAAATATATGGGATCCATATGAACCTATATGAAGATAAGAGAGAGAAAAATAAAATAAACCCCGCACATTTTTCGTGTATTTTAATAAAGATAAGATATTATTATTACCAGTGAGTGTTATTACTAATATCACTACCACCACTTTATTTCACTGTTAGATCGATTATGTTGATCCAATGACTATATTTATTTTCACCTTTGTATGGTTATGATTCTCCATATTTAATATGAAAACATTAAATATGGAGAATCATAATCATACAAAGATAAAAATAAATATAAAGCACTAATTATAGAAAGAAAAAAGAAGATTTTCAAAAAGTTCAATCATAACCTTTGGATCAGCATAACCGATTTAACGATAAAACAAAGTAAGATCAACATAATTGATTTAACGATGAAACAAAATAGTAGCGACATTAATAGTAACATTAATTGATAATAACAATATCATATCTCTTTTAATAATAATTAGATAAAATCAGTTAAAGTAACTTTAAAAACTTTAAATCCTTTAACAAATAGTTTACTAATTTACTAATCTAATGCAAGAAGATAAATGTTGAATTCAAATCACTAATCACCCCATAACACGCATCTGCCACCTATTACGCTTTACAAGATGCGACTGTGCGTTTAAATCACGTATACTCTCATGCATTTTGCCAAGCACAATATGTTACATGGGCTCATTGAATTTTACACATGATACACAATTTAAACACAAACACACACACCCTGCCACACACACTACACATGTACATTTTTCTTTTAAATATTCCAATCGATTTATCATAAATTGATTGTAAAATTAAAACTTTAAATCCTTCTAAAAAATGGTATGAAAAAAGAAAGATAAAACACGTATTCTTATCCCCATTTCTCACCAATTTGCTCAATTCCCTAATCAAGTGGGCTACTATGATCCATAATGATATACTCGTGTGCACCTTTTGCATTCAATTGGTAAATTATTTATCTTTTAAATCAATAAAGGAAAATGTTTTCCTTTTAGGAAAAAATAAAAAAATATTTTTTACCACCAGAACTTTAGTAATTCGTAATTGCTGGATCAAGCATGAAGCAGCAGCCTAAATGCAATCAATTTCATATTCAAAGTGAAAAATCAACCCATGAATTGACCAGTCTAGAAACAGAATCCATAGTCACTGCTAGAATTTCCACACACATCCTGAAAGAAGACATATTCTCTGAATAAAAACCTAAACAAATGCTAATATCCTAGTATTGAACAATTATAAGAGGACGCTGATGCTGCCTTCCTGAATAGCTGTGACTGAACCACGTCTCTTCAGAACTCAGAAGCAAGCATCAAGCAAGCAGCAGCAGCATAGTGCGGCCAGACTGCAACACAAGATATATTTTATATATATAAGTATGTGAGATTTTTCTTCCATGAACTCACGGATATCAAATAAAAAAATGACATTAACAAAGACCGAAACAAACATATACATATTAATAAACTAGATCTGCTGATTCCTATTTCATAAATTAACTTGCAAAAAGGCACCTTCAGAGATTCGTAACTACATGAATCAAGGGGGGAAATGTCTTTTCTTTATCTTAGGTTTTTTTTTTTATGTATAATATTTTTCTTTTCCAATCAATAAGATCATCAACGTTTAAAAAAAATAAAAAAAAAATTTTAACAATCTCACATTGAAATCATAGCAGTCCACCTACTCAAGACTAAAACCTAAAAAAGCGTTGATAAAAAAAGAAAAAAAAAAAGAAAATAGAGATGGTTATGAGTCGAACCGAATCGGAATCTTTGAAAAACTGAACTGAATTGATTTAAATGATTCGGTTCGGTTCAAAAGTAGTTCGGTTCGGTTGAAACGGTTCGGTTCGGTTCAAACCGGTTCGAAACCGGTTCGGGTCGATTCTCTTTTGAAAAAAAAATTTAAATTCTTTTTTATAAAAATCAATTTGATTCAGTTTGAAAACGATTCGGTTCTAAATGGTTCGGTTCATGAACTGGTTCTAAAAACCGGTTCGGTTCATGAACTGGTCCTTTAAAAATCTTTCGGTTCGTGAACTGGTTCTTTAAAAATCGGTTCGGTTCGTGAACTGGTTCTTTAAAAATTAGTTATTTTAAGGAGCGATTCGGTTCGATTCATGATTGGTTCAGTTTTTTCATTACGGAGAAAAAAAAGCCCCTAAAACTCTTTTCTCATCTACTAGGGAAAGATCAACAGCAGCAACACATATAAGCTAGAAAGAGAAAAGAGAAACATACCATCCTTCTAGAAAACCGACTTCTTGTTTGGGAGGAGGAGGTTGTTGTTGAGCATACTGTGGAGCATAGCCTTGTTGGGGGTACCCCTGTGGAGGGTAACCTTGTGCAGGGTACCCTGGAGGAGGATAAGGGTCCTTTACTGGATACCCTGTTCAGTTTTATTATTCACAACAGAAACAACCATTTAATTTAATTTAATTCAATCAGATTCAACAGCCAAAACATATTGAACAACCCTTAAAAAATATATACATACTAAAATAGATAGATACCTTGTGGAGGAGGAACACCAACTGGAGGCTGTTGTTGATGATCGTAGTAGCTCATGTTGATGATGTTTTGAGAACAACACTGATTGAAATTTGGATGGTTTGTGCTGAACGAGGAACAGGGCTTTTATGGAAAAGAGAATTTAGGGTCGGTGAGAGTTTGAGAGAAAGAGGTAACTTTAATAAGTTGTTTGTTTCGTTTAGATAATAACTTAACCGACTAACTAAGTAACAAATACGCGTATTCGTAAGCTTCAATGTAATGATTACGATAAATATTCTGCGAAATTCGAAGATGCTTTCTTTTCGGATAAAAATTCGAAGATGCTTTGCTTTTGGGATAATGACGATATTTGACCTTTGTTTGGACTATGCATAATTGCATATCGCCCCGTTTTCCCGCTACGCCCTCACTTCTTTTTCAAAATTCTTTTTAACTTTTTTGACTTTTTATTTTCTCTTTCTTGTCACTGCAAAAACGCGTTATTTAAATGACAAAATTTCTGTAACAAAAACAAAAAAAATGACAAAATTTCAAATCCAAGAGAACAGATAGCCCATAATGATAACATTCGTGAAGTTACATTCGTGAAGTTACATGTCTTTCAAAATATCTTCTTTTATTTTATTTTTTAATATTTAATGATAACATTCGTGATTTGTTTTTATTTTGTTTTAACTTATCTCGTGTTGTCAGGAGATTCTAACTTCGATGAAAAAATTCGGATATAAATCCGATTTTTCTGCAAAAAGAAAAAAAATCACATAACAACTAATAAAAGTTACATGTTAAATAATAGAAATTTATAGGTTTGAAATGTGTGTAATTTATATTAGAATTTATATTTTTTCAAAGAATACAATACTTTTTTGTTAAAATGAAAAACCAAAGTTAACCCTTCAATATATTCGTTAAGCATATAAATAACAATATAATAATGTGACTACAAAGGCAAATGCTGACGGCACTATTAGGATGATGAAAATGAGTATTAAGTAAAAAAATAAGATATATAATATATTGCAAACATAAAATATTTGATATATTAGTCTTTAATCAAACATAAATATAAAATTATTTAATTTTGGTTTAAGTATGAATTCTTTTACATTATTATCAATTACTTCGTATCATATTCAATGATACAATTAATTTGGAAAAAAGACATAAGACGTGTTAGAAAAAAAAACGTCTCTCATTTTTTTTTTACCATGACCGCTTATTTTTATTTCCTATGTATTTTCATGTTGTGCCCCCAAGAAACATAATCCTATTTCAAATACATTGGAAATATTTTTTATTTCAACTTATTTTCAAAAATCTCATCTGATTATTTTAAAAAATTTAGACTTTTTTAATTTAAAATATTTTTTGTTTAAATAAAGGACAAACAATTAGTGTATTATTAGGATTAGCAAAACAGACTAACCCGACTCGACTCAGTCCAACCCGTTTGCAACCCGAGAAAAATGAGTCAAATTAGGGTTGACTCGTGGGTTAGTTCGAAAAAATGAGAAAAAAATTATTTTTGTCACACTCGTCCTGTACATGTGGTGGAAAAGTTAAGGAAATAATTTATATTTGATATAAGATATCTACTATAAAGGAACACACTTGATATAAAATATTTAGTTGTTGAGTATAATGCAATTAACAATTTACAAGACCAACCATCGACAACAGCGCATGCGTTTGGATTTTAGCCTTTAGGATTCTATTTTCTTTAAACAGATCTGGCCCCCTTATTTTTTTGTATTTTTTAATAAATAAAAAAAAGGATAACCCGCAAGCAGATCCGTTTGACCCACTGGTTGTCTCAATTTTTTTCGAGTTGGCTCGGGTCGGGGTGACTCGGGTTATCAGCTCATTTTCGCCAATTCAACTCGGCTCATTTTATACATATTATGAGCCAACCATTCATTTTTGCCATCCATAAGTATCACCATAGTTAGGAGTTAAATAGATGTTGTTATGTTTCCAAAAATATAAAAATAAATAGATGTTATTAATGATGAAAACTTTTTATGCTATTTAAAACGAAGTAGGTTATATTTACAAACTTTTTTGTTTACAAACTCTTACAAGCTACACTATCTTCTCCCGGGAGAACACTAATCACACTATCTTCTCCCGGGAGAACATAGTGCAATTTACATAAATTTGTAAAAAAAGTTTCTAAACGGATTCTTTCCCATTTAAAATAGCTTCCCATTACCCTTGGGAAGTTAAAAGAACTTCATTCCTAGCTTTATTTTTATTTATTTTTTAAAATATTCCAATTGGTTCATTGCTTCGCAACTAATTCGATTCGAGGCAGGTTCAGGATTAATGCTTTAAACCCCTCACAACTAATATTTTGGCTTACCAAACATGTTTTTTTTAACTTTTTCAGAAAACTTATTTTACCACTATATTCCCAGTAATTAAGTTTCCAGCCAAGATCGGTGATTCTATATTGTATGAAATGAGATTTAATATAATTTTTTAACACAATCTTATTTATTTATTTTATAGAATGCAAATTGGCAATTATTAAATCTTCAACAAAACATTACCTACCTAAATTCTGATTTTTTATACAATGATGAAAATTAAACACATAACCTAATATAAAATTATAAATTATCTAAATTACTAACCACTAAATTAAGCCCAATGGCTTAATTCTGAGTTTTATAAAGCATGCTTTGACCGACTATTCATGTCATGTAATTAATTTTAAACACTCATAAATTCGAAAGATACTAACTGTATACAATATATTTAAAAAGTATAATATTGCTCGAAAATAATTATTCTTGAAAAAATATTTACAAAAGTATGAAGAATCTCATCCAAAATAATTTATAGATTCCAGCTTTTATATCATAATTAAAAAAAAATTGTTCTTTATTAACAAGGTCATTTTTGTATCAAGTTACAAACAGAATATAAATTTAAGCTTTATATATACTTGTTTACCAAAAAAAAAAAAAAAACTTTATATATACACGAGAAAATTTAAGCTTTGATTTTTTCATCGTAAAAGGTGCTTATGTCATCAAAATAAATTTTAATTCTATTTTGTATTTTTTTTTGGAAGATATTTTGAAATGGATTTTATATACCAAAAAAAGAAAGCGCTTTGAAACTCATTTTATTTTAAAAATTAACAAACTATTGCTCGAGAATGCTTATTCTATTTAAAATTATTCCTTACTACTTTGATTCGATTCCTATCACTATAAACGTGACAAGATATTCATTCACATTGATTACATTTCTTGCATAAGAAAAACTACAAATAATTATATTTTAGATGTATTGGCAAACATGAATGTTCGCATTTTGGATTGAACCGGTTTTGAAAGCAAAATTCATCCGATTTAATCCCTTCGATTTATTCATGTAATTATCCATTCGTTTCGGATTTTTTTTTCCAAATCCGATCCGATCCAATCCAATTTTATTCGGTTTGAATTGGATCGGTTTTCGATTTTTTGAAAAGGCTAAGATTTGTATGATGATTATTGTGCAAATAACATATTTTTTTGTATATATTGTTAGAAATGTGACTTCCATACTCAAGAGGGGGGTGAATTGAGTATTACAAGATTTTCGCAAAAGCCCCCTTCTAGTTTCTAAATAATCATTTCAAGCAAACTTTGATATGTGGAAAGCTAATCAATACATTCAAACAATCCATAATATATAATATATCACAATTATATAACTTATTTTAGCACATACAAGATATCAAAGAAGCAATTAAAGTGCTAGAAATAAAGAGTTTAGAGAATTGCAAACACAATATATCCTGGTTCGGTCACCACCACTTGTGACCTACGTCTAGACTAAAGCCGCTCGATCAAGTCTTTCACTAATGGTCAAGCTTCACGGGTGCTTCACAAACCTTTACAATCTTCCAAGACTTCGGGTTCTTGGATATCTTACAATCTCCAAGTTTACAGGTAGTTGACAACCTTACAATTCACTCCAAGTTTACTTAGGTCTTTGGCTACCTCTCAAACAATGGGTCTCACAACCTTTTCAACTCAAGAATACAAGGAAGGAAATATTTGGAAATAAATATACACTCTCAAAGTATGGATATACAACTTGAAGCACTATGGGTATATGAATTTTCAAGATATGAACTCAAATATGTTTGATCTTTGAAAGATATGAAAGAATATGCAAATGATAGTGTATAAGCTCTCAAAGTATGCTTAATATGTGTAGGAATGATGCCCAATTCGTTTTAGAGTCATTGGGAATGTATAACACCTCACATTTCTAAAACATGAATTAATATATTAAATGTGGATTAAAGGGTAGGATTAGTGAAACTCCTGCAATTAAGGCCAAAATACAAAGGAAGGGTAAAACGGTAATTAGCTAAACATGTAACCCTAGGAAAGTGAAATTGAGTAGGAGATCTCAGATGAGAAAACTAACCCTAGAAATGGATTCAGAACGAAAAATTGAGTGGTTAGGCAAGTTTCTGAAAATTTGGTGAATAGTGTTTTTATCGGGTAAAAATATTGCAGTACAGTTGCACCGTAAAACGTACCGATGAATTTTGAGCTCTAGATTTGGATATAACTTATAAATGGTACATAGGCCTAGGAAATATGATTTCTGGTGAAAATTGATGGAAATTAGTGTGTTTGAAGAATCGTGCCCACAACGCGCATAACAGCTTAAAACTGCGATTTCTCCGACAGACCGGAAAACTCCAGATTTATCTGATCAAGGGAAATTAAAGGACAATGGTTAATGTTAAAAGTTAGAGTTTCTAAATAGTTTATGAAATTATGGACGTTTAGCGGAATAGACGGGAGATTTGAATTAGTTTGAAATCGCGTGAGGTGGCGGTGGGGCCCACCTCACTTAAGTGGACTTGCCACTTGGACAACACAAAGAAAAGCCACCACTCTCTCTCCTTCCTCACCAACTAACCCGCGGCCTCCATGGAAATGGGGAGAAAAATCCTTCAAGCTTTCTTTCTCTCATAACTCCCTCCACACTCACTCAAATCCAACAAAGTTTGTCACCAAAATTGTTGGAAATCATCATCCAATCACAACCATGGTAGTCTTGAGCCTTGAAACTCGCTAGATTGGGAGAAAATCTCCAAAAAACAGCCGCGAATTTGGTGGAGGACTTGGGGTTTTTGGAGTTGTGTGTTCAAGCCATTGCTTGGATATCACTTGGAGGAGTCTTAGGCCAAGCTTGTGAGTAAGTTTCCACACTTTTGATTGGTTAAATTGATGGATCGATTTCATGAACCCTAGAGTTGATTTGTATGAATTGATGTAGTTAGAGAGATCAAATTAAAATTGTGTATTAGATTAAAGTGGCTTAGAATGATATTTTAGAGTGATTGATGTCATAAAAATTATTGGAAAATTTGGATTATAACTTAGAAAAATTTGGGTTGAAATGTCATGACTTTGTGGAATGGATATGTTGTATGATTGTGTAATTGAGTTGTGAAATAATTGTATGAGCTAATAGTAGGATTGTATGATGTGTGGAATTGTTAAATTGATTTAGATACCCTTTGGTGGGAGGGCTTGATGAATTCGGCCTAAAGAGGGCAAAGAGGGTTTGATGATGCAAAAATTATGTAATGAATGTGTTGTGGTGTTAAATGGTATTTGGATGAGTTGTGTGTTGAGTTGATGCAATGGAAATTAAAGGAAAAATGCTTGGAGTGTGTGTGATGTGCATTCAAACCTAGAATTAAATAAGGGGAAAATGTGTGTCATCTATGAAGCACAGATACGGAAAAAAAATTTCACGTATCGAATACGCGTTTTATTCGGGGACGCGTTCTCGACGTTATTTCACGTATCAAAAAAGTCAAGAAATTTAATTCGGTCAAATGGCTAATTTGTAAAATTTAAAAAAATAAAGGGCGAAGATTTTGGCTTAAAAAAAGCCCTAAAACTAGAATTAACTCACAATATCGTCGTCTGAAACTTATCTGAAATCTGACTCGAGTCATCCTCTCGTCGTCGCTGCTGCTGGTCGCCTCGTTGTCGTCTCTGCTTGTCGTCTGCCATCTCGCTCCTTCTTCCATCTCTGTTGGACTTTCGATCAGTTTTTCTAATCTCGTCGTCTGCCATCTCGCTCCTTCTTCCATTTTTCTAATCGTTCCAGATTCTAACTCTTCTCTCTGTGTGCGTTTTATTTTGCCGTTTAAGTGCGTTTCATTTTTTTTATATTTGCTTCTTTTATTTTTTGCTTTATATAAATTTGTTGCTTTGCCATTTTGTTTTGCCGTTTAATTTTTTTTCTTTTATTTTTTGCTTTTATTTTTTACTTTATATAAATTAAAAAGAATCATGATTCTGCCATTATTTTATTTTATATGATTTTATTTTTAATTTTTATTTTTAACATGATTCTATTTTTCTTTATATTTGTCATTTATGTGCCTTTTCTTTATATATTTTTTATATTTGCTGCTTTTAATTTTTCTTTTTAACATGATTTTATATTTTCTATTATTAAATACGATTCTGTTTTTTTTAATATGATTATGTTTGTAAATTATATTTTTTGATTTTAATTTAATATATTTTATTATGTTGTTTATGTTGTTTTTAATATGTTTGTAAATTATGTTTTTTTAATTTATTTGTAAATTCTATTTTGAATTTGATAGAATGGAGTCAAACATAAATGAAAGCAATAGTTCAATACAATCCAATGTACAAGTTGTGAACACTGAAGTTGAAAACTTCAACAGACCATTGTGGAGTTACGTTACTAGAGTTGAGGATGGAACAAATGCAGGAGGGAATATGAGTTGGAAGTGTAAGTTTTGCCAACTTGAATACAGAAGTTCATACACGAGAGTAAATGCCCATTTGTTAAAGATTAAATGTAAAGGGATTGGAGTGTGTAAGAAGGTTAAGCAGGCATCTTTGATGGAAATGGGAAAACTGGAAGAGGAATATTCTAAAAGGGTGAGGAATAATGCACCGAAACATGTTCCTTTACCACCTAGTACCTTTTCAACTACAACTAGTACATCTGCTAAAAGAAAAATAAGTGATGAAGGAACTGCAAATATGGGTCCTGTTGAGAGGGCTTTCAATATGGGGGAGCGGGAAGAATTGAATCATAATATTGCTCAGATGTTTTATTCTGCTAGATTGCCATTTCATTTGGCAAGGAACCCGTACTTTCAACAAGCATTCACTTATGCTGCAAGTCATAACATTTCAGGTTATCGGCCCCCTGGCTATAACTTATTGCGAACTACTTTTCTAACTCAGGAAAAGGATAATATTGATAGGTTATGTATCCCTTCCCGATCTCTTTGTAGATCAAATGGTGTGAGTATTGTCAGTGATGGATGGAGTGATTCCCAAAGGAGGCCAATAATTAATTTCATGGCAGTATGTGATGGTGCAGCCATGTTTTTAAAAAGTGTTGATTGTTCTGGTGATACGAAGGATAAATATTTTATCTTCAACTTGCTAAAGGAAGTAATTCAAGAGGTTGGGGTGAAGAAGGTGGAGAAGGTAATAACGGATAATGCTGCTAATTGTATGGGTGCAGGGCAGCTTATTGAGCAAGAATATTCGACCATCAGTTGGACACCATGTGTTGTTCACACGTTGAATTTGGCTTTGAAGAACATTTGTGCAGCCAAAAATGTGGAGAATAATGAGATTACTTATGGAGAATGTAGTTGGATATCTGAAATTATTGGTCATGTTTCAATAATCAAGACTTTCATCATGAGTCATTCTATGAGATTGTCTATGTTTAATGAGTTTGTGCCATTGAAGTTGCTTTCTATTGCTGACACCCGATTTGCTTCTATGATTGTTATGTTAAAGAGGTTCAAGTTGATAAAGGCTGGCCTCCAAAACATGGTCATTTGTGAAAAATGGAATATTTATAAAGATGATCATCAAGGAAGGGCAAGACTAGTGAAGGAGAAGATATTGGATGATGAGTTCTGGGCAGATATTGATTACATCCTTGCTTTCACTGCTCCCATTTACGATATGATCAGATTTTGTGACACTGATAAACCTTGTCTTCATTTGGTTCATGATATGTGGGATGCGATGATTGAGAAGGTAAAGAATGTAATATACTTGAAAGAAGGGAGGATGAATGGTGAGTCATCAACGTTTTAATTATGTGGTGTATAATATTCTTGTGGATCGTTGGACCAAAAGTTCAACTCCTCTTCATTGTTTGGCACATGCTTTGAATCCCAAGTAAGTTTCTTATAATTTTAACTTAGTTTAATAATTCTATTAATTGAAACCATTTTGGCACTTGTAATTTTTTTTCTCTTTGGTAGATACTACAATGATTAATGGCTTGCTGAAGATCCAAATCGAGTTTCTCCAGACAATGATGTGGAGATTAATTTAGAAGTAAAAAAGTTCTTCAGGAGACATTTTTCTAGTATGGAGGAAAGGGCTACAGTAAATTTGGAGTATGTCAACTTTGTTCAAATGAAGGGAGATTTTAGAGAGTTTGAGGCTATTGAAAATCGATATACAATGAATCCCAATGATTGGTGGGGAGTTCACGGTTGTAGTGCACCTTTGCTTAAAAAGCTAGCTTTGAAACTCACTGCACAACCCTCTTCTTCATCATGTGTTGAACGCAATTGGAGTACCTACTCTTTTGTGCATTCTATGAAGAGGAATAAAATGGATTCCAAACGAGCTGAAGACTTAGTTTACATACATAGCAACCTTCGGCTCTTATCAAGCAAGAGTCCAAAATATAATGAAGGAGAAAGTCAATATTAGGACATTAGTGGAGATGCAGTTGATACCTTTAATGATGTTAGAGCTTTAGATGGTGCTGCCCTTTCCCTAGATGAGCCAGAGTTGGAGGCAAATATTATTAGTAGCACTCCATATCCACATACTAGTTGATGTATTTATCAATTTTGTATGGATAATCTATTAATTGTGCTTATGATTTCCTTTTATTATATTTTGTTAATGTGCAATACACTTTATATTTAAAAAAATATTTTTATACTAAGACATATCAGAACGTATCGAAATATTAGTATTTTTGGAGTAACGTATCGACATCGCGTATCGGGAACGTATCGAAAATGCCGTGTCGGTATCGGTGCTTCATAATGTGTCATTTTAAAGGATGTAAAGTTGTGTCATTTTAAGAGAGAGAAAGAGATAGATAAAGAAGGAGAGAGAGTTGACAAAAATAAATAAATATGTGGGTCCCACCTCTTTGTGAGAGTAAAAGGATATAAGTTATGTCATTTAAAAGGATAAACACTTTTCCCATGAAATAATTGGAAAAATGGTGTTGTGATGATGTAGGATGGAAAATGGGGCTTGAAAGGGTGTTGTGATAACATTAGAATGCTAATGGAAAATTAAAATAAAATTAAAAAATAATTTGTAAATTTAGCATAAGAAGGCTGAACCTAGGTTGTGGGGAGGGTGAAATTTTGATGCTTGTAATCTTGATAATTTGCACCGTGTGTTGATGATCCTTGTGTGATCATTATAGGTTGCCTCCCACGGAAGTGTACGCAGAGCTTTGAGCTTGGCGGGTTGCCTTTGGTCCCTGACCAAAGGGATTTTGGTAAGTCGTCTTAAATTTATGCATGAATATTAAACGAGCATGTGTATGCTTTTGGTTGATAGTAATTGTATTGGAAATGGCCTACGTGTAGGCATTTTTTGAAGTACCAAGCTCGGGGACATATTTAATTGGAGCTGTCAAGCTAGAAGGATTTATCAAGTAATCCCTTGGTACTAGGGTTTGATCCCCGTGTGTGCTCCTCCATGCTCGTTGAGGGTAGTGGTTGGAGGTGTATGTTGGTAATGTAGTATAACATGTTCATGCATTATTGTATGTTAGTGGTACATAGGATGTATCGAGTCTCTGGCTAGTAGACAGTTTGCCTTCGGGGGTTACAGACTTCCACTGGATAGGTCTCCATGAGGGAGTTTTAGTTGACCTGGGGTCGTGGTATGTCATCCGTAGAGGAGCACACTAGGAAGTCTCGGGTGTATATGGATGGAGGGTACCTTGGTTGATGTTCTGGGAACACTTCATTGGATTGGAACCTGTAGGCTATATGTCGAGGCCAATAGGCCGGATGTTGCGTGGTATTGACATCGACCATTCCAGCTTCATCATATTTTATTCCCTATGCTTCCCTACTTCACTAAATCCCTTGATTATCCCATTTTGAATGTTGTATTATATTATTGATATGCATCGAAGTGAGCCATTGGACGGAGTAATCTCCAGAACCTCTGGGTTACTGAAATATATTTGTATATCTCACCCGCTTTGGGGACTTTATTTCAGGTAGTGCCAGTGGCGTTGGAGCGGCGGACAAGAGGCCCGTAGAATGAGCTTGGACATAGAATTATTTTGCATTTTAGGGCCATTGGGACTAGGCTAGACTTGAGAAATGAACAATGCATGTGATTCAGGATTATTGTTGTCATCTTTGTTCATGTTATATTTGTCTAAGTTTAGTCATTTATTCTCAAGGTTTATTTTGGAGGTCCATTATGTATATTTGAAGAATTAATGTAAATGTGGTAAAGAAGGATTGTAAATTGTAAACATAAGACCTTGTGTAATATTGAAGCTTATATATGATGAAAGGGCAATAGGCCTATTCTATGAATGATTTATGTTTTATGCCAAAAAGAATGTATGCAAAGGAATTAATGTGATTGAAATGATTTAAGATTTGATAATGTAAATGTTGAATTTGGAAAGTAAGCTTTGTTATAATTTGTGAAGGGTTATAAGAGCACCAAGGCATTGCTGGTCCTTGAGTGCCACCCATGTTTATTAGGTACCATTTGAGGCTAGATAACACACATTTAAAGGTGGGATATGTTGGAAAAACAAAAGAAGACTATGGCAAAATTTCTAGAAATTGGCAGAAATTAAGTGAACTTTGGGAGAGCATATCTCCCTCCATAAAAGTCCAATAGGGACTTTCCATACACCATTTTAAAGCTTGAGATGTCAACTACCTTGTTGTTTGGAGCCCTGTTTGAGGTTGGCTGGCAGATTTGCTTGTCCAACTTCAAACGGTAATAACCGGAGCAAACAAGAACTTTTTTGATCGTGTGATAGCTCGTTAGAAAGATAATTAAGTGTAAAATAACATACCAAAAGATGAGAGGTTCGTGGCATGCGGATTTCCGCAGTAATTAAAATACCGACCCATGTTCAGATAGGTAGAAAATGTAAAAGTAAAATTTAGGCTAAGTGGGTTTATGAGAACCTCTTAGTGACTTGAGAGGAGTGTTATATGATATCTAGACATTTTATATTATTATTCCGTAATGAGTTATCAGTTACGGTCACAAATTTTATTTATTACGCTTTATTAATGTTTTAAATGCTCGCGTAATTAAAAAGGAAAAAGTTTACTTGCATCTTTATAAATGAATTGCTGTGATTGTAACTGCGCCTAATATCATAATCAATGTTAATAATATCGGTACGTAACGGGTTGTTACAGAATGCATATATAGTGTTTCCATTGAAAACTAGCTGTTTATAGTCGTTATATGCATTCTGTCACAAAGGGTAATCGATTACCATATGCGGGTAATCGATTCTCAACCTGACAACAAGAACACTGTTTCGTATTTTGGGCATAACTTGAGTTATACTTGTAGGATTGATGTGATCTTGGTCTCGTTGGAAAGATAAAAGAGAGATCTACAACTTTTATGAAGAACACAAGATCCAAATCCATCATCTTGGATACGAAAAATTGTATGGAAGGAAGCATAAAAATTATACAACAAATTTTAAGTTCAAATGTGTTCTAGCTTGTTTCCAAACATTTTTTATGAAAGATCTTGACTTGATAAATATGTTTTGAATTTATAAAACATGTCAAGGATATTTTCTATGGGTTTTTCATATTTTTCTCAAGTATATAAAGTTATGATTATGTAATTCGAAAAACACATTTACTTTGAGAAAAATTTTGAGCTCATGCAATGCAATCTACCATATACCCTCACATATATTCTAAATCCTAAAGATATATTCTAAATATGATTTTAGACTTAGCTTCATCTCTTATGTCTTGGATTTTTACTTAAGCTTGATGCTTTGACTTGTTGGATATGATAATACTTGACACTCTGTTGGTTTTGATCATTTTTCACCATGATTATGATATTGAGCTTCTCTTAGATGTTGTCCCATGGTTTGTTGTCTTTGATCTTGGTGTTGCTCTTCTAATTATTCATTGTTGCTCTTGATCCAATGATCTTGCCACTTTGATATACATTACTTTTCTTGTGTGGCTACATCATACATCTTCAATATCCACATATGATTGATGCTTTTTGTTCTTGATCAATGCTTTTCTCTTTTTGCTGTTGCCATTTTTTTATCATCGAAACATACCTTGTATCTACATGTATTATCTTTGTAAAGTTTGTATGATGATTATTGTGCAATGTTAAAGCATTGTACAATAAAAAGTTGAATTATCATCTTTTACCTCCAACAAAAAATTTGTAATATGGTTGCATGAGATACGAAGTAACCCAAATTTTTATCCTATAGAGGAGCTGTTGTACAACAATAATCCATGTAATAAAAATATATTATGTATCTTACAAAAAAAAGCATAACATAGATCAAACACAACCTACTTTCTCCAACATGATGGGTTAATGAGTCTTGGATTTAGAATTTTGCTATATGAATTTTGGGCTATGATTGGGGAAAGGCCCCAAGTAGGTAGATGGTAAGGTTGGAAAATCATTGGATCGGTTTGCACCAACCCATCCAAAAATCGATTCAATCCAATTAAATTTTGTGATTTTTTTTCAATTTTTGATTTTTTTCGGTTAATTCAGTTTTCGATTTTTCGATTCGATCATCGCGGTTTGAATCGGTTGATGAACACCCTTAACTACTACTACAATTAAGGAGTCATTTGTGTATAATGAATTCCGAAGTAACTATGAGTTTATAATGAATTACACTTGTCAATTCAAATAATCAAAAATAAATTTAAACCAAATCTATTTGAATCCAACAAAATTTTAGTTGATTTATCGAGGAATGTTATATTTACAATCTTTTACAATCATATCTTAACCGTTGATTTTCGTCAATTTGTCATTTATTGCGAATTGATAATTAATTAATGAGTTTGATTTGCAAAAAATAATAACCATTAATTGACGGAAATCAACGATTAAGATATAATTATAAGAGATTATAAACATAAATATATTATAAGTATAACCGTCATCATTTCTTAATACACACAACTTAGGAATTCAAAACCGAATGAATTCTTATTTTAAAACGTTCTGAACAAAGTATTAATTAAAACGAAATCATTTACTCAAATTAATGGTCTCAATTAATAAATAAATGAGTGGAAGGTTATACTTATAACTTATTTTCGTTTATAACCTCTTATAACTATATCTTAACCGTTGATTTTTGTCAATCACCGATTATTATTTTTGCAAATCAAACTTATTAATTAATTATTAATTTACAATAAATAATAACTATTGATTAGCGAAAATCAACGGTTATGACATGGTTATAAGAGATTATAAACAAAAATAAGTTATAAGTATAACCTTTCTCAATAAATGATTATAAAATATTTACAATAACTTGCGCGGTGATTGAAACAAAGAGACGTTTAATTATAAACTTAAGCATGGAATCAATTAAATCAAATTATATCACTGCAATAGAATATAATACATCAGAAAAAGGTCAAAAACAAACGCTTATTGATTCAACTGAAAAAGGCATTGAAATTTGAAACATCTGGTACCTAAGACCTGCTAACAGTTTAGATTCTTTAGAACAAATCTGGAATTTTGAAAAGGTTCAATTTTATGGGCCGGACGAACATTTGGGCATCCTAGAGTCCCAGGTCTCCTAAAAGAAAGGGAACATTTTTATTTTTTAACTTTTTACATATTAGGTGTAAGCATGTCATGGGAAAAAAAGAAGAAAAAACTTAACAGATAACTGAATATCCCACATTAGCATATCCAAAATTTAAAATTTTGAACTGGTGTCAGTTGTTTAAGCATATGTTTGAAAAACGATTTGAAGCGAGAAATAACTATTTTTTTAAAAGTATTTTATAGAAAACTGTAAAAAATAATTTCTTAAAAATAAAATAATTTAAATAAGTATTTATATGCTTACTAGCACTGTTTAGGCCCTTTTTAAACATTTTTTTAACATTCCTTTTCTTGGACCAGACCGACATGTATGGGGCCCAACTTTATAGGCTTTAACCCAAATGTTCTAGTTTAATTCAGAAAAGTAAAAAAACAAAAGGATAAGACAGGAACAATAATGACTAAAAAGAAGGACGGTAACTGCAAATTATGACCAAAAGAAAAGAAAAGAAGAAGAAGAAGAAAGAAACAGAATCGTTGACAAAGAAAAAGAGTGATATATATAGGACCAGTTTCAACCGTGAATAAAAGGGGATTTGGGGAACACGTATGACCAAAACGGGGAGTAAAAAAACAAGGACAGGATAAGTGGACATCTCTTCACCTGTATCACGACAAAAAAAAATAAAAAATTACGTATGGCAAATTTATTTTAATAATATTATTTACATCATTAAATATTTTTGTATAATTAAAATAATTTTTATCACCATTTTTGAATTTTCTTTTTCACTATTTTCATTTCTTTTATTTATAAATAGGAAAAAATATTTCTCCAGTCACTGGAGAAAAAATTATATCCAGTAAGCTCAAAACGACATCGTTTTGGGTTATAAAATTAAAAAATTATAATAATAAAGACTGATATAACCCTGCAGTATATTATAATTACAAAAATATTTTAATTTTTGTCCCAAAACGACGTCATTTTGGGCTCATCGGAGATAACTTATCTCCTTTGACTGAAGAAATCCTTTACCTTTTAAATATTATTAGTCTACAAGTTTGTGTGTAAATTATGTAAATTGCAACAAAATTTACGCAAAAGAGATAAGAGAAGATGATCATTATTTTTGGGTACTCATAAACAAAAAGTTCAAGGTTTTTATGAGTATAATGTTGTATGACACAATTTGTTTTTCCTACAAATACATCAAAAGGTGGGGTCGATATTTTTTTTTTCTCTCCATCATTATTTCATTTTCTCTCTTCTTGTCATTGTTTGTGAAGGAAATTTTTTGGGTCATGTAATATCATATTCATAAAATCCAAATTTTAATGTATATAATCAATGAGATGAAAATGTAAATTTATCTTATATTCCCTTCCCATGTTTCGACAAGGAAAAGAAAAAAGCAGGAAAATATCTCGAGTTTGATTTCAAAAATAAGACAAAAGAAAAGCTATTAAATAATGATTATACTTTACTACAAATGAAAGGAAATAGAAGAGAAAAGTAATATCATTTCACCAAGTTTTTCCAATAAAAAATGTGACACATATATTAATTAAGTCACCAGAGATAAATGAATTAATTGTGTTAAAATTTATTGATTAAATACTAAAATCAAATTTTATTACAGTTCTTCATAACTTTATAAAATGTTTAATGTTATTATGAATAAGTAATTTAATAAATTGAAATACACACATTTATCTTAATGCATTATAACTTAAAATGTTTCAATATTTATAGTTGTTATCTTAAAGTTTAAAATTAAGAATTACAAAAAATGATTTTATTTTTCAATTGAAATAATATTCTTAACATTCATCTTTCTTTGTTTACAGGTTTCAAGTTGTCCAATATGACCATTCATTGCAATGTTTAATTAGGTTCGCTCACACTTCTCAATCACAAAAGGTTAATAGACATTACTTTTATTGTTAAGTAGAGCTGGAGGTCATATCTCCCGCATAAACAAGCAACAAATTGAAGTGCACATGCATGCTGATAAAACATCAAGACAATATGTAGAACAAAGACCCTGTCTTTTGAATTAAAGGGAGGAATGCAAAAAAAAAAGGCAGGGGATAAAGTGATTGCATCATTGACCCATGATTCAATCAAAACAAAGTAACCAAGGTACATACAAACCTTAATATGTAAATGGTGCCTAGTGGAGCTAGCACTACCAGAGACCTGTCGGATCTTGAGATTTGAGTGCAGGATTTTTGTTTTTGTCTTGGACTCTAAAGTATCTGATCTCCTGTTGAGTTTCGAGTCTGTGGATGGAATTATATTCAACGTGCGGTTTAATTGATCACGGTCACTTTCGTGCTATGGCGCGTCATTGAGGATGCATGGCATGCAGTTAACTTAATTCATAATGATATATAACCAATTGTTATGTTCTTATTAATTCATAATGATATATAACCAATTGTTATGTTCTTATTAGCATCGAAAAACTAATATTACGGTGTAGAAAAATTCTTAGGTCATGTTATAAAGACAATTAATTGTGGGATTCATTATTTTTAAAATAAAAGAAAAGTAAAAGAATTGATGAGCACATTTTTATGTTTGTGTAGAAAAATTGCTTGTGTTATGTAAAAGGAGAAAAACATTACCCTATTAGTATTTCATGGTTTGTTAAGAGATTTCCCCGGTTTATTTCTGAGCAAATTAAAAGAGATTTATTAAGGCCTAACTTTTTTTTTTCTGTCAAGAAATCATAAAATAGAATTATACGAAATTAGAACAGCAAAAAGTTTAAATTTATTTGTTGACAATATGCATGATTCTTGATATCTCAAAGATTGTCGTGTTTGCTTCAGTATTTTTTCAAAGGTTAAAGGACTAAGATTTTTTTCTGGAATTCACATCACTCATCAATCGCAGTGATAGATGAGGCATTACACACATACTATGAATGTAAAATAGACTTAATCAAATTTATTAACCGTAGTTCCCTACTTATGAGTTAGGTTTATATTATTAGACACTAATTTATAAATATTCAAGCACAAACAAAATAATCACTTAATTAAACGGACTTTATACTGCATTTTCATATAGATCATGACTTTACATATTTTTGTTAAAATAAAAAGAACTACAATTAATTGAAGTCCATAATAATTATAAAAAGTTATGAGATTTTTTTTTTGAGCAATACTCATGTGCAGACTTTTAGCTTGTTCACATATAAATGTAAGACGGTAAAGAGTTGTTTGACATTACAAGGTAACACATCAAACCTACGCAAACCAAAACAAAATGTTCTAGTCATCCTTATATAATTTATAAACGAAAAGGAACCAATTTAGCGCGATAAAGGATGTATAGGACCACCACATCAACACTCTCCAAGTTTCGTGGGCAATTTGAAAAAGTATGAAGAAACACTGAAAAGTAGTGGAACATCCAAGTATTCAAATCCAAAATACCCGTTCACTATCAAAATTTAAAGGCAAAGCTACATACTTCCAAACCAGGCAACATGGAAACGGTTTAATTGAATTTTACAAAACAAAACACCGTGAGTTCAAGATGTATACATGTCCTTCCAAAGAGAGAACGAACACAAACCCTATGTATAGTAGAGTACTAATTAAGGAGAGCAATATGAATGTAATGGCTAATAGTGCTTCAAGTTCCAACTTCTTCAATGCTCTGTAAGGCTGGTTTCCATTGCCCACTACCACCAACGAAATGCCTTCCAACACCTTTGTTAATGCTGCTTCTGCTACCACTGCCATTGTTTCCCATTCGTTGAATCTCCTGTTCCACCTGACACACAGAAAAAAGAGATAACAAAGGCATTGGATTGGATAGGCACACACGGCAAGAGGTAAAGGGAAAATGACAATTCATATTGATTCACAATACAAAAAGTCATAAATAGTGATATTTACATGTTTTTCTTTTTGTATTGTGGCAATTAATTTGTCAAACATCATAAATTATTTCTTAGACATGTAAAAATTTGAAGTTAGGTAGGAAAGAAATAATCCACACTCGGGCCAAATTCAAATGGTAAAGTTAGGTGGTTTTTGAATAAAAATGTAAGTTTCTTCTCTCTTTTTTTTTTTTTTTATTAAAAAAAAAACTCTCTTGAAAAGATGATGTCTTTAAATAAAAGCATCCATGCCATCCTATGATTTGCTCACCAGCGGTCCTGACGTACCTTTTGTAATTTGGTAGTGCTTCCATGAAGTGGAAACGTGAAGAAACTTAGAAAGTGATAAAAGTAACAGAACAAAAGAATGTATCATTATTGGGATAGTGGAGCATGCATTGTTGGACGTCCTTTCCTAATTTACCACTGTATAGCCAACTAAATTACTAGGATAACTTGATAGCTAAATTAAAAATTATGTGCCGCTTATGGGTCAACTGTATGTTCACAAAAGGTTTACCATATTCTATGATCCTTTAACACAATCAAATTAGGTAATATAGTATTAATATCATTGCAACATAAAGGTTTTAGTAGCACGCAACAACAAATTTGTAGTCAAGTTTAATTAGAACTTCGCAAACATGATATTCGTAGGACCACAAGTGTCATATGTCGTAGCACACAACCTTATAATAATAATTAACCAATAATAATGTCTCTGTCCTAATTAAAAGTGGGGCAAAATTTATAACCAAACTCTTCTACAAAATGAAAAAAATCAGCCTTGAGATTCGTACCTAAATAATTAATGATCAAATTCTACCAAAGTGCAGAAGATAAGATTTTGAATTAATTCACCCATGCAAACAGAATCAAGGAAAATATGAAGGTAAAAATGCCTTTGTTTATGTCTGATACAGAGAAAATAAGAACCATGCCCTCTTTCCTTTTCCTTTATTAGTTTTCCCTCTTTCCTTTGTCAGCATCAAACAAAAAAAGTAAATAAAAACAAAACAAGACAAATACTACACCTCAACAATGCAATTAAACTACACCTTAAAGCTAAAGAAATGAAAAAGAAAAAGTTAGACTTACTAAAAACGCAACATGGTAAAAAACACATGGTAGTTCAATCGTTTTTTTAACCAATTTAATTAGTTAAATGAGAAAAATAAAATAAAATAAATTAAAAACAGAGGTAGCTAGCATTAACATGAAATATATTTACCTTAATGGTAGCGAAATCAGATTTCGAACTGGGACTAGGATTTGGAGCTCTGGAATCTTTGTGCTTCATTTGAACCCCATGACCACCTCTCTCCTTGAGCAATTTACCTAGTTTACCACATTTCTTGGAAGCAAACTCCTTCAACACATCTTTCACCCCACCAAAATATACACAATCAATTATTTTCCTTAAAAAAGAAAAAACATGCAGACACAGTGCCAAATCATATCATACATAACATACCTTCGAAACTGATCAAACGATAAACCTGGCCAATAAGAAGAGTATCATCGGGTCGGAGAAGCTTGAGCTGCTTCAATGGCGTCCCATTCTCGGACTTGAGAGTGGGTGAGGACGCGACAAGCGCAACGTAGTGACCAGGATTTGAGTTCATAACATGGTTAGCACTAACCGACCAGTAAATCCTCTCGATCTTGTTCCCTGGATGTTGAATCACAACCGTTGCCGCCTCTGCAGCTTGGCAATTCCCCATCTTGTTATCAATGTGAACTTTTTCTCAGCTCACAACAAGTGCTAGCTACTATCAATCAATGGTGGCTGTGGGTTTGAGTAGTAATAGTACTAATAAACCTTGCTAGAAACGTTTCATTACGTTTTCAATTGGGTGACGTTTGAAAGACACAGTTCTGGGGTGACTGTGTTACTCTGCCATCAAAGAAAGCAATGCCATAAAAAACAAGTAGAGAGAGAGAGAGAGAGAGAGAGAGAGAGTCTATTTATCTGGGATATAAATGAACCTGACGCTCTTCTAGGTTCACTGACGCACGCCAAGAATCAAGGGGTGTTTGATGGATGTGACAAACTCTAACCTGTAACCGAGAAATACCCAGATTTTTTTTTTAAAAAAAAGTTTAGTTGTTAAATGGAAATGGTTGTACGATGATGATGATGAGATGATGATGATGATGTTAAAATAGTGTTGGGTAACTTATTTAGAAATTAGAATAGTGAGTGGTGAACAGAGAAAGGCATGGCATGAAGGGAAAGGAAGGGACAGGGACAAGAGAATGAGGAGAGAGAAAGTGTGGGACAGTTTATTATATAAAGGAGAGTTTGAGAACTTGAGGCGTGTTTGATCTGTATAAGTTAAAACTAACCAGGGGCTGGGAGTGGAACGTTGCTGTGTCTACACTCTATTGTTAGAATGGAAAAGTGTGTTTGGCTAATGGGTTGGGTTGTGACCCATAAGTGATTCTGACTTATGAGAAATTTAACGCCTTACATTTTATTTTAAAATATTACATTGTACAGTTAATTTGGTATTATTATTTGAGGTTTTGTATTAGTTATTATGTTTCAATTGAATTCGTATGTTATTTTGAGACTACCTCAAAACTTCTCCCAACTAACACTGGGACTTGGTGACTAGTTAAGTAGTGGAATCCTTCTTTAACATCTTTTTTATTGTTTAAAATATGATATTATATAATTTTAATATATTAATATTGTTTATATTTTTATAATAATCAGGACCTTTTAACTTTTTATTAATAATTTTAGTTATTAAATATTTAGTTTATAATATGTAAAAAACCATTTTACGATATTGTTGAGCTTATTTTATTTAATGAAGAATGAATCGAACTCTTCAATTTTATCAGCCAAAAAGGAAATTCCCTTTTTTTCTATTTCATCGTGGGCGGGTTGAGTGTGTTGACTCACTATGATAGAATGGCACGCAACGTAATGCCCTCACACCGGACGGGTCTGGAATTTGGTCACAATCCACGGTCCAGAGACCAGAATGAGTTATCATTCTTTTAGGTGTGGGATGTTATGTGGTGATGTCTGTGTCCCGTTTCGAAATTCTGCTCCCAAAGAAACAATATTCTAGTTATTGTCTTTTGTTTTTTTTTTTTCTTGTTCCCATTCTTTTCTATTTTTTTTATTTCGGTCTTATAGTCATAGACCATCTTGCTGTCTGTATCACACTTCAAATTTTAATCGAAAGGGAAAAATAAATTTTCAACTTAACGTTTCGGTAATGACTAGTCGGATAGGTACTCCAATTTAAATTATTTTGTACAATATGTATGGTTACTTGATTACACGTTCATTATATACTTAATGTTTATATAATTTTATGCGTATGCACGGCCAAAATTAGGTGGGACTAAACTTCAAAACTAAAATATTTCCTATGTGCAGTAATCTGTTCATTCTTTCAAAAATCAAACTAAAGAGTTCAGTGTCCGTTGAGAAATTAAGGGCATGTTTGATCGCAACTTGATTTTTTTTTCTTAAAATTATTTTGTTGAATACTGTGTTTTTTTGTGTTTTGAAAGTTTAAAGTCAAAATACAAATAAAAAATAATTTAGATATTTTTTTTCTAAATTTGATTATAAAAATTCAAAAAATTTAAATTTTTAGATTTTTTTTTATAAAACAAGCTTTATTAAACAGATTTTTTTTTATTCTTGAAAATCAAAATATTATTTTGGGAAACACAATTCAAATAGGCCCTAATAGTCCCAAATTATTTAGGTTGTGGATGATATGATGAATGAAAAGATTTCATTATTCTGGGAATTCTGATGGACTTTATTTATAGGGATTATTATTTCTTATATTGTAGGAAATAATTTTATCTCTTACATATACATAAAAGTGTATGAGATCCATGTAAGACGATGTGAAGAGAAGAGAGAAAAAAAAACATAATATGAGTCTCACATACTTTTACGTGTATATAAAGATAAAATTATTTCTTACAACGACAAAAATATTAATCCCTAATTTTATATGCATAACATTTCTTAAAATTAAAATCGTATTGTTTAGGTAATCAACATGCTAATCAAATTGATGTACATATTTTTTTTTTCTTGATTTATCATTATAGCTAAGCGTTAACTATCGATTCTTGATTTATCACAGCTAGTCTGATTAGTTGTGTTGAGCATGGAATCCTAACTCCTTGGCCATGTCAAATTTCCATACTCTGACTCATAATTGGTCATAGCCCAAAAGAGTAGTTGGAAGGTGTTGACAAAATAAATAAATTAGGAGAAGGTGATTTAATAACCACCTCTGCCGACCCAGAGTTATAATTTTTGGAGTCAAAACATTAAAAAAAAGGAAAAGAAATAAAAACTAACATAAACGAGGAGTTGAGTTGAAGCTATTGCCTAATAAAACTTGTCATTGGTTTCCAAAAAAAAAAAAACTTGTCATTTTCTTGCAAATGCCTAACTATCTTTATAATTTTGCTAATTTTCTTGGGATTATTATGGGGATTGAGCATTATTTTGTTACTTTGTGAGGGAGCAAGCAACTGAACGTGCAGGAGACGATGTTATATTGAATTATTTGTTTGCCTCCATCATTTTGTGTCAAACTCTAATCTTTTTTGTCTTACTGATTACGCAAGAAAACAAAATCAAGAGGCATAGCCGGCAACCCACGATAGCTAAAAAAAAAGTCACAACTTACATTCTCGTGGTCCTTGTTTAGTTACAGGGTTTTATGTTTATTATTTTACATAACATAATTTCACTTTCTTACACACATATTAAAGAGGTGAGATCCACTTGTTTTTCTTTCTTTTTCATCATTCCACTTTCTCTCTCTTCATCATTGTGTGAGTTGGAAACTACCCTTATATTATGTCACATAACATTAATAAAACCCTTAGTTATAATCCCTTTTATTTCATTTGTCATCATTCCCTTGAAACTTTTTCTTGGTAGCTAGGGGTTAACGAGTCGAGCCGAGCTTTTGTCTCAAAAGACTAAGTCTGTGTTTATATGTGTGATCCTGAAGCTTGTTACCTAAAATGAATATAATTATCGGCCTGTGACCTGATTTATTTACAAAAAATAAAAGTTTGATTTAGCCTGTTTAAAAAGAATAAGATAATAAAAATTTATCCAAACAAAATATACAATCAACAACACTAGTAATTTCATAAATATTCATAAATTTAATGTATATCTAAACAGTATAATATAGAACAAAATTATTCAAAAAGTCTGTTTAACTAATAAAATGAGATGAAATGGATTGAGGAGAGAGAGAGGGCTATTACAAGCTGCAAAACACGGACATGCGAAATTTTTTAAAATTTGCGTGTCAGACACGTGTCCGACACGAACACGTTCCGACATTTGGGGACACATAGTCAACTCTCCGACACGTGGTCAACATTTGAGAACACGTTCGGACACATTTTTTTTTTAAATATTAATTTTTTTTAAATAAGAGAGGATGATCTTCTTCACGACCCCCGCTCAGAGATCCACCTTTTCCCATTGACGGAGAAAGAAAGAAAGAGGGTGAGTGAGTGAGGCACTGCCACACAAGAACAAGAACGAGTAGAAGAAGAAAGGGTCAGGTCATAGAGAGAGAAAAGAGAGAAAGACAAGTGCCATCTCTCCAAATTTTGATGCGGTAATTAACACTAAAAGTGAGAAAAAAAATAAACAACCGGGGAAGGTAGCTTCCATGTAATTTATTCTTTATTTTTTTTTAACTAAATATAAAAGAAATAATTTATAAATAAATTTTTTCTGTTATGAAATTTGACATTAAAAATTAACAAAGTACGAAAAATTATTTATATTTATGTTATGAAATTTAAATATCTGATTAGTTATATGACTTATTATGGACTCTTATATGTATTAAATATAAATTATATTATATATATTAAAAATTATATTTAATATCAAAACGTGTCCCAACGTCGAAATATGATATTTTTTAGAATTAACGTGTCGGCGTGTCGTGTCGTGTCGTGTCCCGTGTCCGTGTCCGTGCATCATAGATTACAAGTAGTATAAAAAATATAAAATAAAAAATAAAAATAAAAATTAATATACTATAGGCCAGCCTGAAAGACTCTAAGGCCGAGCTTTTGAATTGGAGCATGAGACTTTCTTATTAAACGAGCTTTTATACAAGTCAAAGCCTGATCCCAGTAACTAATATTAGGCATGTAACCTCAGGCCTTTACAAGCCGAGTCAAAGACCCTTGGTTCGTTTATCACCTCTATTGACAATGCTTTGATTAATGATTTTTTATCCTTAAGAAGTGAATATACAAGATCTTTTTGGGCTTCTACATTTTTTAGCCATTGGGCTTGGGAGAACACAAGCATATATAAAAAAAAGGGAAATCATGCTCTCATGTCACATGAGAGCAAAAAAGTTTCCTACACAGATTCGTTTTCCGTGCCAATTAATTTTTCTTTTCTTTTATAATATAAAATGTGGGACCCACATTTAATTTCTCTCTACTTTTTTAATCTCATGCAATCCTACAACATGAGAAAATATGAACCCATAAAAAAAGGTTGGGCTTTTGGAATAGACCGAGTTACCTAAAATTTCTGTGTTTAAGGTCTGAAGAAACTTTTCTAAGGTGGGTACGGTAAAAAAACAAAGAAAAAAAAGTTAAACGAGGAGCACAAAGCCAACAAGAAGTAAACAATGAACAAAGGGAGCCAAGAAAGAAAATGAAACTCAACAGCTTATTTGGATCGTTAATGATTAGTGGATTAATTAGAAGCGCTAAATTTGCAGTGTAATGTATACTCTTTCACTTAAATTATAAATGAGATTGGTGTTTGTCCTTTTAATTAAAGAACATAAGATTATGACATTAAATTATGTCATTTTAAGTGAGAGAAAGAGATACATAATAAAAATTATTGGAAGAAAATAATTGATTTTTTTAAAATATAAATTTTAAAAGAAAATACAAATTTTAACTAAAATAACCAATCCTTTGAAAGTACAAACGATTTCCCTATTAGAAATACTTGACATTTACTCCTCTCACTTTTTAGTTATTGATGTCACTTAAATTCCGAGAATTGGTGAAACCGAAATGTGGAATGTTTCTTATTCTCCTAGTGCGCTACTACTGCAGAGTGCAGATGGAAATACAAATGAGCAATCTCTCTTTCCTTAAAAAAAGAGCATAAATTTGCTTTCACTGGAAAGTGTAGAATATGTAAGCAAAATA